CGCTTTGGCTTGGAGGAGGGCGGGGGCGGGGTAGCACACAAGGACAGAAGTGGTTGCAGGGGTGCGGCTCCCCTTCTGGTGAAGGACTGGCAGCCACCCTGAGCCCGGAATGACACCCCTCTTCATGGAGTTTCTTAAAAACAATCAAAAAACTGTACAGCAGCGGCTGCGCCACAGGCAGCACCGGTGTGGGCGCCGGACGGCCGGCCTACCCACCGAGTGGCACCGGGGTCATGCCTGTCCCTTGGAAAAGGCTCTGGGCCCAACGGTGAGGGGCAGGCCCCCGTTCAGGGGAGCACCAGGGATGGAGGAGCCAGACCAGCCCGCCCGCCCCACCTGAGCTGGGCGGAGCAGTGTGGGATGCCCTGGGTTCCCATCAAGAGTGTCCTCCGTTTTCTTCACACCGTCTCTCCAGGAGCAAAGATTGCAGTCCAGCTGCAACCAGACACTCATGTCCCCCCTGCCTGGGACCTGCTCCTTCGTGCCTCTTGGCACTTCGGAGGGAGGAGGGGGGGAGCAGTTCCAGGTACCCTCTCACCGAGATGAGATGAGCGTGAAGGCAGGTCGCAGACTCAGCATGCAGGACTGGCTTCCCAGAGGTAGATGGGAGTGGGAAGGGACGGGAGAAGAAGTACAGAAGACAGGATGGGAAGCAGGAAGACACTGGGCCGGCACCTACCAGGAGGGTCAAGAAGCGATGAAAAGGACAACAACAGTATGGAATTTGTATGTAAAGAAAGGTCTTTCCCTGGCAGATTAGAGAATCAGTATTTTAAATACAGTTCCTTACTCTTGTCTTTCTAACTGCAGCACCTGAGTCGCCAGTGTCTCCGTCTCTACGGTTCAAACCCCACCCCACTCCTCCCGGGGCTTTGCTCTCCATCTTCTCAGGGCCTCCTGTCCTTTCCTGCTGAGCACGAAGGCTCCGATGTCAAAACAGGAGAGGTCACGGGGACTGGCAGACTCAACTTTGCCTTCTGGAGCTTTGAGGCCCACTAACCCTACAGCTATCATGGGGGGAGGGAGCCACGCTTTGCTTGCTTTCTTCTTTTTTTTTTCTTTTTCTTTTTTAATAAAAAAGATTTTACTCCCCAGGAGCAAATAAATCACTTTGAACTACTGATAAACACTGTTGCAGTGAAAAGGAAAGACGGCTACATGTATGCAACAGCACGAGTCGGTGTAAGAACAGCTGTGCCGACAATTAGAGATAAAAATCACTTATCCCCCCACCACCCGAAACCAAACCAAGAGGATTCCCATAGGGAAAATGTCTAACTCAAAAGCTCCTCCCTTAGGGACAGGGGGCATGTCATTCTCTTAAACGTGGAAAACAAATGGCAGGTCTCCCCACAATGGAGATGCTTTCAACACCCCAACTGGGGGCAAGACCTCTGCAAATGAAGACGTGCATGCGGACACACAGACACACACACGTACACGCGCACGCACACGCTGACTTTCAGTTCTCCTTCCCACAGCCACAGAGCTATATCCCAGGGCCTCACCCTCCATTTTCAGGGCTCAGAGCCAAGGGAGAGCGGCAGCGAGGCAGGGAAGGGTCTAACCTAAGGGAGAAGTCCCCACCTATCCCCGTTTCCTGCTGGGACCCAAGGGCTTCAAGCAGCCTTGCTCTTCTGGGGGCCTAGGGTGAGGGCCAAAAAGGTGGGCACCCCAGGGCATCCAGCTCTACTCTAGGCTCTCATACCCGGACGTGCAAGCACTCAGCACCCTCCCGGCTCCCCACTTCTTCCCGGATATACACTGGAGGGGGGTTTGCAGCCACCTCCACAGCATTCCCAGCCTCAGGGAGGGCCGACCCTGTCAGCCCCCGGGGAAAGGAAGGAGAGGAGTAGAAACCGTGACGGTGAGCTCCCCACCGAGCCTCTCCTCTCAGAAGCCGGCGTGCTGCAGTCCGCGGCTCACACTCGCTACGTCTAGGCACAGGCTGGCCACCGGGCCAAGGCCATCGCCAACAGCCCCAAAGTGCCAGCTGCTGCCCCCTTACCCAGTCCTCACAGCAAGGCCCCACCCCCTTACTCTGCGCTCCTGCCACAGCCGCGATTTCAAGTAACAGCCCATTGTAGCAGCAGTTGTCACCTAGCTCACAGTGGTCCACACCTGTCCTGAGGAAGGTTACAGCAGATCAATTATGAACAAGTAAGGGTCACAGGCAAGAACCCATTACCAACTCTGAAATCAATGATGGGCCCGGGAGGTGAGAACCTTTTCCAGTTTGAGACTTTAAAATACGACAACCGAAAAGGAATGAGTTCCCTCTGTGGACTGCATCTCGACTAGCACGACACAGAACTGGCGAAGGAGGAGTGGGCCCAGCCTGGAGAGAGGCCAGCCGCCCCTGTCCCCTCTCTGCTCTCTGACCAGGCGGGCCCCTCAGCCAGCTGCCCCACTCCCGCCTCTTCCTCCCCGTCACCCCCCCAACCGAGCCGGTCTCTCCCTGCACATCTCTGTCTCACAGCCCACTCTACTGAGGAAGGGCTAGGCGACAGCCTGGGCCATGACTAGCACACAGACAGATCGTGGACACGGGTGCACACCGCCCTTTCCCAGGAGGAGAAAGAAGGATGGTGGTGAGGTTGGGTCATGCCTCCTCAGCTGGTGTGGTCCTGGACCTGACCGCAGGAATTCTCCAGTGGAAACCCCTGGTACCACAAGGGGTACAAGGGCTCTGCCTTCCTCCCCCCAGGACTGCGCTGAGAGCAGTGAGGTCCCTGGCCATGGGCAAGAACCAGGTGACTTCTGGCTCTGGGCTCCACTTCACCATCATAAGCCCTCAGTGCTGAGACTTGCCTGATGACTAGGAAGTTTCCATCTAAACCGCAGGCTCTGGGAAAGAAGTGACTGATGCTGCCACTCTAACCTGGGGCTGTGTCCTGGTCAGTACACCCTGCTGATTTCGGCTTCCATGCTTCTGTTCATGTGTTTCTTGTCTGTCTTACCCTCACCTAGGACCCAAAGCCTCACCGCCACAGAGCTCTCCCAGACCATCTGGTCTACCCTGATCTCGCCCACGTGAATTTCTTTAAAGACAGCCTTTGGTTCTTGCTGCCACAGAGTCATTGTCCAACTGCTGCACGTGCAGCAGTCACTTAAAAGCTCCCTTAGGCCAGACATCATGACTTTCCCCTCCTGTGTTTCCCACAGTATCTAGCCCAGAGCCAGGCAAACACACTAAGACATACTATAAAAAAGAATTTTAAAAGTATGGGTGGCTGAAATGGTATAAAAGAAAAAAGGCCCAAAAAACCCAAATAGCTGCACATCAGCCATTCAAGGATCCCGATGGATTGCAGACTGCAGGCTCTAGAGCTGGGTGGCACTTTCTGCAAGATGGCAAGTTAATCTGCACCCTCAAGAGGCAAGACTCACAGGTTAAGCCAATTTCTGGGATCACTATCTTCATTGGTTGGTAACACACCCACGGGATCCAAGGAGAAAAGAGGTACCTCGTGACAAATCAGAGGTGGGCTGTGTTTATGTCACAAAGCTCATTTTTGTGGACCCCCTCTTTCCAGGCAGATAACAATGCAAGTCTCCTCCCTATTCCACTACAAGGAGGAAGACTGGTCATTCCATGCAAGACATAAGGCAGAAGGCCAATGCTTCCAGATGAGGCAGTCCTATAAATTACCAAGACACTGGGGCCTCACCCCAAACCATCAGGAAACCACAAACCTGATGATATTATTTATCTCATGAGATGAGGCAGACAGAAGCACAGGGGAACCAAAAGAGGCAGTCTAATGGAACATTTACTACAAAAGAGCAATAAAGACCCAAACAGCTCAATTTTCCTATCTTAATAGCAAACCTCTGCCCAGAGTAACTCTATAGAAAAGCAAACTCATAATATCTTATGACTTGACAACGGCCCACTTCAGAAAAACTCAAGGACCACTGAAACACACTGGAGTTTCTCCCCCTCCTCTTCCACCGCCACCTGGAAGGTGGGCAACTCCCAAATCAGCATCGGACAGACTTCCCAATGAAAGGGGGGGCAGACAGGATCTGACTCAGGAAAATGTTTGGGTTGCTAGAAAAAACACAGTTAAATTAAAAAGCCCTTGCTACCTCCTGTCCCAGAAGTGGGATAACAGGGGTAAACCTAAAAACACGAGATGCAATGCTCTCCTCCTCTCTGATCCAGACACTCCATTAAGGCTGCGACACTGGAGAGCTGCTTCTCGGAAGAGCGCTACCACGACAGCTTCGTTTCTCACCGTCCTCCATATTCCCTCTCACTAGCTGGCAGACATATGGAGGTAAGTAACACTGACTCCTAAGTCATGGGTACAGTTTGCCGTTAAGAATCTGGAAGCATGCGCCATTAACTTTAGCAGCTCGTGATTAGGGCTCTCAACTGCTCAGGTGATAAGAAAATCGACTGCCTTGACAGCTGGCAGAAGCAACAGGAACGGTGTTGCCATGATCAGAGTGAAATGTACAGTTATCTCGGGGGAGGGGTGGAGGGTGGAGGAAGAACGGGCCGGACTTGAGGGCACAGAACTCAGGAATTCAGTACGACAAAACTAACACAGCTTCTATGAGAGGTGATTCTGAAACCAGGTTCCTAAACCTTCACAGGAAAGGATGTGAGGAGTCACTACTTTCCCCAGCAGAGGCCCTTTGCCAGTTTTTGTTCAGCAATCTTCTATTCGAGACTACCCACCCTCCTTTCTTTCTCCCTCCGACTGAAGCTGTCCAGGCTTAAGGAGATGAGGATCCTCATCCCTCAGAGACTCCCAGCTCAATTTGCACTTCTGACTCCTTCTCTCTTCCCTTCTTTGAGGTCAATGGTGAACACTAGCACTCTGCCTTTGGCACCAGCTGAATGACCGTCACTGGCAATCCCCTCCCTCCCCTCCCCCCCTTTGGACCTGGCTCACCCTTGGCACCACTTCCAGTCCAATGGGCACGAACCCCAGCTGCCTTTAAAGGAAGTTTTCCATACCGAGAAATGCAAATATCCAAAACAAAACTTCTAAAAAAGGAACAGTGTTGAGACTTATTCCAGTTTTCCAAGGAGCTCGTCCAGTTCCAGGATACCGCGGGGGATGGACGTGGAGAGGTGGAGCCCCCCACGCACAGAGTGTGGTTGTGTGCTTCTTCCAAGCCCCAGGACTGCAAGGGGGACCGAAGTCTTTGCACGGAGGAACTCAGCCCTTCCAATTCCCTCATTTCTCCTCACTCCCCCTTCCACAGTAGCTTCGTTTGGTTCTTCAGAACTGGAGCTTGGCAACCAAATGCCTAGGTGAAAAAGGAAAAAAATGAGAGCAGCTCAATGGAGTGGAGCCAAATGGAGAAGAGCTCAGCCTCTGGAGGTGGAAAAGTACAGCTCAAAAGGAGAGCTGGAATCTGGATAGCCGAAGACTTCCACAAACACTGGTGCTGGCTCAGGATGTAGCAACAGCACTTGCTGGGGGACCTGAGCAGCCCAGGACTTGGACACCAAAAAAGGTCCTAAAATAACTGACAAATATATTGTGTCATATCAGCTCACTTCTCTTTCCCTTTCCCTTACCCCTTAATTTTCCACCCACTTTTCTCCCCACTTCTTTCCCGAGGCTCACCTGCTCCAGGGACTAAAAAAGAAAGAAAAAAGGGGCACCTAGGTGGCTCAGTTGGTTGAGCGTCCGATTTTTTTTTTAATTAATTTATTTATTTAAGAGAGAGCAAGAACGAGACAGAGAGAGCACGAGCGAGGTGAGGGGCGGGGGGAAGCTGAGCAGGGAGCCCGATGTGGGGCTCGATCCCGGGACTCCAGGATCAAGACCCAAGCCAAAGGCAGACACCCAATCAACTGAGCCACCCAGGTGCCCTGAGCGTCTGACTCGATTTCAGCTCTGGTCACAGTCTAAGGGTCGTGAGATCGAGCTGAGCACAGAGTCCGCTTGAGATTCTCTCTCTCGCTTCCTCTCCCTGCTCGCTCTCTCTCTCTTTAAATAAAATCTCTCTTTTTTTAAGATTTTATTTATTTGTTTGAGAGAGAGGGAGCACAAGTTGGGGGGTAGAAGGAAAGAGAGAAGTAGACTCCCCACTAGCAGGGAGCCGGACGTGGGATGGGGCCCTAAGGTCTAAATCAGGAGTGAGGATAGCATGATGCTTATTCTTTGCCATAGACAACAATCCTGGTGTCACACACAGCAAAGAGACCCTGGGAGTTTAGTTCAATCCTTTGCCCCCCATACTCATGACAAATGGCTACCCCTGGCCTATACCTCATCAGATCAAGTCCCTTCCTATCTCAGGGCCTTTATGCTTACTGGACTCCTTGCCCAGAATGCTCTGCTCCCAGATCCTCTCATGGGTGACTCTTTGATAATTCAGATCTCAGCTGAAATGACACCTCCTCACAAGGGCCTTCCCTGATCATCCAAACTTGAGTAGCACTATCCCACCACTAGTCATTAAACTTCACCAGGTTTTATTCCTCATAACATGTATGGTCAACTGAAATTAGCCTACTCACTTCTTTACATGTTTGCTGTCCATCTCTCCTTATGAGAACTGCAGCTCAGCGAGGTCAGGGCCACAAATCACCTCGCTCAGCACACTCTTCCCAATCCACACTGGGTACTTAACAAGCAGGCAGAGCTGCTAAAGGCAAAGCCAAATGGGGAGCTCCCTAAGACCTGTGGAAAACCACTCTGCTTTTGGACCTCTCTGTTAAAACAGTTCTTCTGAAGTGGGACTGAAGTCAAACTCCTCCTATCTTACATCAATCGTGACCCTTGGCCTGCCCCTGGTGCCACACAGAGTAAGTTTAACCACTCCTCCTTTGCATTTCTTTCAGCTAGCAAGCCCCTCTCATCCTGAAACTTCTCTGCTCTGTGTTAGTCATTTATTCCCCATATGCTGAAGCTGGGAACCCTCCACCATACTAAGTCCACCTCTGAATGTGCTGTTTGGGAGGGTTCCTCCTAAGCACCCACCGAGGTGGTGCTCTAACTAATGGGTCCTAATTACTCCACAACGGTGCGTTTGTGTAGGCGCGCCTCCCTGGTTCCCTCCTACCTAATTCCCATCCTAATTTCAGCTGCAAAGCCACCAAGCAGAGAAATCCTCCTAGACATCAGAACATTTGGATGTTTTAGGTGTCGCTTCCAAGGGCATACAACTTGCATGTAATTGAAGATATGACAAGAGATTGTACACCCCGTCCAGGATGCTTTAAGTTAAAGCTCTGTAGCCTCCCAGAGTTATGACTTCTTGATCTCTCCTTTCATTCCTTCTTCCCTTGTTAATCCTTAATAGCCCAGCTCACGTACTTTCCCCCAAGCATAGGATCAGGGACTTCCAGAGCTAAGAAGGGAGGCACCCAGCTGGGTTCACCTTAGCCACGGCCCAGGAAAACCCGTGGGGCATAAACGCCAGTCAACACACTCTCCAGTTATGAAGAGAGCAGAGAGCGTGGAGAGATGGAAGACTCCCTTCATTCTCAGACCGTCACTCTGCGGGTTTTTTTCTCTTAGTTTGTATCATGTGGGAGACAGCACTGGGGAACAGAGAAGGTTGGAGGAAAAGCAGACATATTCAGTGCTTCAGGAAGGCAGTCCACACAAAGAGGAGAGATGGGGGTCACCACACCTGGCAGATCACGAGAATGTTACATGTGATCATACGTATAACCCACACTACCAAAATTACAACTCTCTGGCAATTCTGTTCCCTACTCACCTCTATCTTTCAATGCCTACATGAAGGCAGTTTAAAAGACCAGTTAGAATCAATCTGCACAAACCAGTATTCCAAGATATTTTATGGGGAAAATAAATGAGTAGAATTCAGTTAATGTAGCGACAGGAGAAGAGCCTCTCAGATAAATGAATTCCTTAGCTAATTCACTTATCCTTTTCAATAATTTACTCTACAGTGTTCCAGATGGAGCTCTAACCAGAAGAGTGAGCCTGTTTTCCTCACCCCCACGTTCCACGCCACTGGCCTTGGAAGTTCTCACTCAAGTGCACACCTGTTGCAAATGAAAGGGGGCCTGCACTCCCTTTGATGACCTTTTCCTCCTTTTTGGTTTCCTGTTTTACATGTCATTTGTGCAACAGCAGGGAGAGGGGCCAGAGTATGAGAGAAGGCCCCACACTAAGCTACACTTGTGTGTTCTCCTCATTTATATTCGGTGCTTAGCTTGCATGTTGCTTGGCAAATACTTTTTAAGCCCCTCCTGTCTGTCTGCTCTTCTCCCATTTGGTGTATGTGCCCCCTTGGGGACCCCGTTATCAGATTTGGTGACTCTCTGGGCAGACATCTGGATCCGGAGTATACACATGGGGTGTGGGGGAGGAGGGTGAGGCCCAGCACATGACGGTAACTGTTCAGGGAGACACTTGGCTGGACAGTAAGGCAGAGAGCTCATACCCTTAGTGGCGATCAGCAGGGGGCCCCTCGCTACGTGGAGGGTTCGACCTCTTGCTTCTGTTTGGAAATGAGCTGCGCTTCCTTTAGAGACAGGTACACCTCTTCCTGAGGATCATAGTAGTAGAACTTTCGGATATAAGAGATCAGAGGTCTGTGAAAAACACAAGAGGGATACACATAAAGTGTTATTTACAAAGACCATAAACAAAAGACCACCTTTGTTCAAGCCTTCCTTCTTCTTCAACCCCTGTATGGCTGTGACTACACAACAAACTTGGCTGACCAAAGAAACTTGCCACATTCTCACTTGTTATAGCTCTGTCTCCCTCCCTCTTACCACCTCCATTCCACTCTTCGTAGAGACTGCAGAAGGGAGGCTTATGCGCACACACACACACACGCGCGCACACACACACACACACACACACACACCTTCCTCCCTTCTAGCTGCCATGTGACACTTCTAGAGTTAGGTGCTAAGACACGCGAGAAGTGAAAGGAGGATGCCTGTGAAGAGCGCCAGGCTCTGCCTGTGCTATCAGCTGGCAGGCCTCACTCACGTTTCTAACTAAGCCTCCATTCCTGCCCCGACCCGAAAGACCCCATTGTACTTAGGCAGTGGGAGATCCGGGATGTGATCTATCCGGACGAGCTGTCGGATTCGGAATCTGCAAAGGTGCTGCAGGGATTTGACATTGCTGAATCTAGACACTGGATAGAGCAGCTGGACTGGAGTTGGTGGCAGTCCTTCAAGAATGAAAACCAAGGACATATTCAGAAGGAATGCAGCTAACTACAATTCCCCTTATGAAGCGAATCCAGGGAAGGGAAATAGGGCTTCTTTATAGTTCACATGTGCGTTCTGTGCAAAAGCTCCCTTCCACAAAGAACTGCTGATTTCCATTTGCAGAAGCATTACCACTGTATTTCACTCAAGACACTCGATTCTGCTCTGCCAAGGGCCTCCCTAGCACTACTCTTCACAGCTAAGAGTCTCGCTCTTCAGAATAGCCCAGTGAAAACCACCAAGCTAGAGACTTTACTTGGAGCCACGTGGCCAATCCCAGGCCTGAGGCTCTCCGTGAAGAGCAGGAATCAAAGCACCCCTGCTAAGAATGGGGGATACTGCGAGAGCACATCTAGCAGCATCCTGAAGGGGAGAACTCAGAAAGGCTGCTTAGAGGAGTCTGCAACCAATCCCAACTAAGAGGCTGGTAAGCAGAAGGCAATGGCTGGGATCAAGGCTACAAGCCTATCACTCCTGCCATTTACTTCAAGCCAGGACCAGCGGGTTTAACCACCTCTTATTTCCCATAACCCTCCCCCACCCCCCACTTCTCCTCCTCCAACCCCTCCTTGCTCCTGAAGTTTTAGGCTGGGTCTAGGAACAGAAAAAAAGATGATGCTTTTAAAAGAAAAGCAACGACACTAGCTTGGGGAAGCTGGAATTAGTACCACTCAGTGCCAAAGTGCCTTCTGACTGATGCCAACCAGGCCCAACGGGAGCCCCACACCCTGCTTTCATCAACTTCAGCGGGCCTGATGCTGGGAAATTCCAGCCCCCACCCCGCCCACGCCAGGGGTCAGTGCCACAGAACAGAAACATCCACAATGGCAGGGACACTGAAACTGGTCCAAGGGAACAAAGAATATTCTGGTTTCAATAAACAAAAGGGCTACAGCACGTAAATAAGCAAACTGCTCTCAGAAAGAATCTGAGCTACACAATCTTTTAAAGAATTCTTTTCTCAGTCGCTGTCCTATCAAAAGAAATTCTGTAGGCACAACTTATCGGTCTACTACTGTTTTAGGAGTTTAATTTCAAACATTTTTAAGTTTTGTTTGAAGGCGTGAGAAGAAGAAAATTAAAGCTTGCAGATTGTCTCCCAGAGCCTTTGCATGGTCATTGATAACAGACTTTCTAAAAAAGAAAAAAGTCAACATACATCTTATACTGTTACTAAGCAAGCAGGCTTGACTTAAAAACATTTAACTCGTTTAGTCTTCAAAACTGTACTTTGAGGTAGGTATCACAATTATCCCCATTTCACATATGAAGAAACTGAGGTCTACTGGGGGCTCAGAGAACTTGCTCGCAGTACAGAACCAACAAAGCCAGCCTGCCATGAGCACCTGCTCTGTCTGAGGAAGAGCTGAGCCCACAGAACTTCAAAGGAGGGTTCTTCAGTTCTGTCTCCCCAGAGCACCCGCCCCTCTGCTGTCTGCTGAGGGCGCTATCCAGGAGAGCCCCAGCACCTTGATTCATGCCGGGCCTCTCCCACTCCTCTCCTTGCTCCTATCCCTTCAAGCCTCGGGCTTATCCTTGGAAGCACAGTAGCCCCCTCCACCCACATGACTGGTCCTCTCCACTCACACACTATTTAAAAAAAAAAAAAAAAAAAAATCACACATGAATTACTCTCCTGAATATATTTAAACTCAAGTGGTTTTAAAATGGTACTGGGTTTCAAAGGCCTCTTTGAATTTACCCTCCCTCTCATATGTTTTAAAAAATATTCTTTAGTAAATTAAACTATGGCAAACAAAAAAGCTTTTGGGGGTGGGTTGTAATAATGCTAAGTTCAACATGATGTTTCAGAGATAAAGGTAATTTATGTATCTAATTATTTATTCCCAAAGACACAGTACTATCGGACTTGTGCTTAAAGAGATCAGGATAATAAGCAGCATAAAATTATCTGACAGTTTGCCTACTTGAATTTTAATGACCATATATACTTGCCTATTTAATTGTGTTAGTTTTAGCCTTAGGCTCACAAATAGCAATTTGAACCCTGTTAATTCTCTGATATTTCCTGCTGTCAACCTGACCATTTACTGTTTGCCCCCAAACACAGCAAACAACTGGAGCTCTCACATCCAGAGCATGTTAACAGAAGAGGTCAGAAATGGAAATAAATCTGAAATAAGACACCAGGACAGCAGAAAGGGAAAGGGCGAGGTGGACAGTGATCATCAGGAACCTTCTTCTGGTCCTTCATACCACGGGTCCTGGGCACCAATCCAGTTTCCAGCCACTTCACTGTTTTTTTTCTCCCCCCAACAAGGACTAGGTTAGGGGTGACACATGTCTTCCAAGTCTGAGCAGCCCCACACATAGATCTTTCTGCCAAACCAAACTGTTCCCTGAAGACCAGAATTTTCCAGGCCAAAATGTCAATAGTGCAGAATTAAGAAATCCTGGGATACAGAGAAGTTTTTGTCACTGAACAAAACAAATAATTATAAGATTAATGATGGTTACAAAAGAGAGACCAATTTTCCTTAGAGTTGTGCAATTCAAAGTACAATTAAAAAACAAAAGGTATTGGAGGCACTTGGCTGGCTCAGTTGGTGGAGTACGAAACTCAATCTCAGGGTTGTGAGTTCAAGCCCTGTGCTGGGTGTAGAGATTAGTTAAAAATAAAATCTTTTAAAAAAGTATTTTCTCTTCATGCACTTCACAGATGATGAAGATCCCCCCCAGCTAAGAAGGATATGCTCACTGAGTTTTGGCTCGAACAGCATCAAGGGTTCTGTGCCAATCCCATCATATTCTCTTTTTGAGACTGCTGCCTGGTGGTGTTAGGAGTTTAGTTTGTAACTGTGGAATGGCCCAGACTGAGATGCAAACAGTGACCTCGGATTTGTTATGACTATGCTCCACTACTAAAAAGAGATAAGGGGGAAACTAAGATCAGGTGCCAGCATTTTTATTTTTACTCGGGGTCCCTCCTTTGATGCCAACTACTCCATTTATTCTAACTCATGTCCTTCCTTCTGCTTCTTACTTGCCACCATCCAGAACTTTTCCGTTAGCCCTAACTTTATGATTCCTATGAGCCCTGGCATCCCTTTAACACCAGTCCGCAGGCCCTGTTAGTGCAGTCAGCTCTAGTACTGAGCTGGAAAGAAAACCTGACTTTGAATCCTGGCTCTGCAACTCACTGTACTTCAGTTGGTGGGTGGGTGGGTGGGTGGGTGTGCGTGTGTGTGTGTGTTTTTAGCAGGCTCCATGCTGGCCTCCAATGTGGGACTCGAACTCAAAACCCTGAAATCAAGACCTGAGCTGAGATCAAGAGTAGGACATTTAACCGACTGAGCCACCCCGGCACCCCACTGTACCTCAGTTTCTTAATCTGTATCAAAAAAAGAAAGAACGAAAGAAAAGAAAGAAGAGAGACTGTAGTATCCCTTTAAAGGATTTTGTAAGGGCTAAATCAAATAATCCGTGGCCCCTTGTAGGCATTCAGTTATCATCCCAAAGTCTCAACAAACAGGCTCCTTTTGGAATCTACTGAGTTAAAATCCCTGGGGTAGGTTGAGAAAGCTCAACTCAAATGCTAATCCCTACCTCTTCTTCACACCAAGTCCCTCACAGAATCAACCTCACAGAACGCCTAGACTTTTATGACAAGCAAAGGAGGACAGCAAACCACGGTAAGGGAGAGCACGGGCGTTGCCTTTTGTCCCAGTCCTTCAAAGAGAGGTCACATAGGGTCTAGGAGGAAATACTAACGCTGCTTTGCCTTCTCAGTTTGATTACAATTTTAAGTGCAGGGGCGCCTGGGTGGCTCAGATGGTTAAGCGTCTGCCTTGGGCTCAGGTCATGATCCCAGGGTCCCTGGGATCGAGTCCCGCATCGGGCTCCCTGCTCCTTGGGGGCCTGCTTCTCCCTCTGCTTCTCTCTCTCTCTCTCTCTCTCTCTCTCTCTCTCTGTCTCTCATGGATAAATAAATAAAATCTTTAAAAAAAAACAAAACAATTTTAACTGCAAGTAGATATCCCCTCTGTAGCATTCCTCATAGGTCCTAAAAAGACACCCTCCACTAATAACACTTCTGACTTCCTTATGTAGTCTCCACAAGTCTCAGCAAACTCAGCTTTCAATTTGCTTGCTGTTACTTTTCCCCAGTAACAGACTGGTAGCAAATAAAGCACAGGATTTGGAGTCAGCCGAGCCTGGGTCTGAACTCTGACTTCAGCACTGATCAGCTAAGCGACTTCACATTTGAGCCTCAGCCTCAGTTTCTTCACTGTCAAATGAAAATGGTCTTATCTATAAATAGACCAATCTATTTGCTAACTTTGGGTTGTTGTAAGAAATGAGAGCTGTTTATTTTTTTTATTTTTTTTTTGAAATGAGAGCTGTTTAAATAAAGAACCTGACAAAGTAACTGGCACAGGATACACAGTCAATAAATAGTAGCAACTGTTACAAGTTCTAACCCTTACCAATGTTAAGAATCTTAGTTAAAATTTCTGCAGGCAGGGCACATTTGTAGAATGAAATGAGCTTATAGCAGAGTCCAAGTCTCTCAAATACTCTACAAGTAGATATATGCTTCAGACTCCAGAATCCTCTGAGAGGATTTCCCTGGTTCACCCACAAACAGAGCTGCTTCCCCGCCCTTGTCAATCACCCACCACTGACCGCCCTGCCTTGTACTGAGTTCTACATGTGCTCTTGCCTTTATCTTCCTACCTGTCCTCTTTCTGAGGCCATGAGATCTCTGAGGGTAGAAATACGGCTTATTTTTGATACCGAGTTACAGAATAAATGCTTGCTAAATAAATAACCTCCAAAAGCCACAAACTTTAAAAATTACTAAAGAGTCAATTCCTATAAGAAAGGATTCTAACTTTTCCCTTTAACCAAGTCAACTGCATGAGACCCAACTGTGTTGACAGCGCTGAAGCAAATATGAAATGAAGTGAGAATTAATACAGTTTTCACCCGTCATGCCTTATTTAAATCACCAAGATTATAAAACACATTCCTGTAACCTGGTTCAATCCTGTTACTGATGTTCTGCCTGGGGCTCCCCTGGAACTTCTTTTTAAAGCAATTTCTTGGCACACAGTTTGTTTAAGAATCTCAATTTGATTCACTGGGAACGCATGAAGTTCTCATTTTAATCTGTTTGTATCTTACAAATTCCTCAATTAATATGCTTGTCATTTTGCTTTTCCCCAACCCTATAAAAGCAGACAGACTCCTCCAAACCATCTCTTCCCTCCCTTCGGGAGAGATTAGATAGCTAGCTCCCTACTTAGTGGGCAGAAAGACTATATAACCACGCCAGCAAGGATGGGAACGGAACTTCCCAAAGCTCCCAAATGGAGAGATGTCTTTATATTTAATGCTAGTAGAGATATAAGAATCAACAAGAACCATCTACTCTTTAACAGCAAGTTCAGTACGAATGGACAAAATCCACAGCAGACTGTCATTGAATTCAGCCTCCTTGACACTCACCGTGGCCTTTCTAGTGAATACTTTTTTACCTTCCCTGTTCCCGTAGAAATGACCTGAGCAAGTTCTCATCTCTCTGCTTCACATGGAAGCATGAGATGCCTGGATCAGGGACAAGGAGACACCTCTGAATGTTAAATATTCACAGGACGCCCGGGCAGCGAGATGGGATCCATTTTCTCATTCGTGTGTTCAGAAAAGCAAAGATTCCTTCTCAGTATGTTGAAGGATTAATGTACAAGAGCAGGAGATTAACCACTGGACTCCAGGAAGAGCCAGGAAAAAGGACTTCAAGTAAGTGTGGCTTTTTCTGGGAGGCAGGGGGACACATTTTGATACTATAATGCATCATACCCAAGTAAGTTATATAATTAATGTAACTCTAGCCTTACCTGGAACCCTGGATCTCAAGAAATAGAGGAACTTCCCATTCTTGGAGTGCATGATGGCTCTCTTAATGAACTCCACCACTGACTGACAGCGATCCTCAAACTTGGGGTGACACCACAGGCTGAAAGTTCCTGCCATGGAAAATTAGGGAGAGGTAAAGATGTAAAAACTTACTTTTAAAACATCTGGGAAGCTCACTTAAACATTGAAACGATTCACAATTCTGGGAGGGTCATTTGTGGGCAAGCTGTCAGACAGAGGTCCCTGAAGACGCCTGTTCCTGTTTGCTCCACAATGAATGGAAAGGAAGAAATCACCTTTAATAAGACATTAGTAGGAACACTAATCCTTAAATCACAGACCATAAAAAAAGACTGCCATAGCAAAAGCCAGTTGAAATGCCATCCCTTCAAGAAACTCTGTGTTCAAGCATTCATGGAATAGTCGAGGCAAGAAAGGAAGAGTGGTTTTGCAAGTCTCACTCATTCAGGTGTTACGCACAAAACATCAAATTCTAAGTCTTTTCTTCTTTAACTTCTCAATTCACACCCCCCACGGTATGTTGCAAAGATCCCACCCCAAAATTTTAGAGTCCCAAAAGCAAAAGGGAAACTGAACTCCATGACTAAAAACAAACCAAAAACTCAAGCACTAAATGCAAAGGAATCACCCACAAAAGGGACGGAATCCAAGAGAACTACAGATTTGAGTCTCTCTAGCTACTCTTACAATATCACTTAAAAAGATAAAGACAAATGCTCCATTAAACTGGCAACTGAAAGACCCACAAGGCTTCTATTAAAAATTCCATTTATTCGAGGAAGAAAAGCCCCTTTGAATAAAAAGTAACTGGAGCACCATTTGAAGGTTCTCTCCTTACCGGCCTCTTGCCTATCAGGGACCTTAGAGGTCAGGCATTTATTCCTCATTCTCATGGCCTAGTCATTCATCATTTTCATAGATTTATAAAAATACTTCATTTGAGGGGTGCCTGGGTGGCTCAGTCGTTAAGCGTCTGCCTTCAGCTAAGGTCATGGTCCCAGGGTCCTGGGATCGAGGCCCGCATCAGGCTCCCTGCTCAGCGGGAAGCTTGTTTCTCCCTCTCCCACTCCCCCTGCTTGTGTTCCCTCTCTCACTGTGCCTCTGTCAAATAAATAAATAAAATCTTTAAAAAAAAAATACTTCATTTGAAAATGCTTTACTTTGCATGGTGTTTTTCTGGTTTGATTTTGGCCTTTGGAAATAGCAGGAGGGGGGGCAGCAGGCTAGGCCACAGCTATCTAACTAATTCTCAGGTCTGTGGACTGAAGGGCCTCTCTCTTCATGCACCTTTAAGGCAGGGGTGGGGACAGAGGAAACCATGGACAAAGCTATGCTGGCGTAACACGCTACTTCCTGCCCCACGTGAGAAGCAAACCAGATACATACAGCACAACATGGCTGACAGCAGAAAAGACATGGTGGGGGCTGAGAAGAGCCTGCAAGAGACTCTTGCTTGTGAGGCTGTGCCTAACACAGCTCCTTTAAGGCTGATCCCTGAAACTCTCCAAAGTTCTCTCCACTTTTCAAATTTGTAACACAGGCAGTTACTCGGAGACAAAGGATGTAGTACCCAGCCCTGCCACTGCTGACCGTCACGAGTTTCTGGCCCAGGTCAAACACAGAATGCCACGATGCAAAGTCAATCCAGACAGCAGGGTTGAACAAATCAGCTCTATACACGACCACAGCATTCAGCACTAGCTGACCACAGAGGAGGAGGGACCCCCCAGGAAGGAAGGCAGATAGTCTAAAGCATGTTGATCCCACAAAGTCTCTGAGTTCTGATGACTATTTCCTAAGAGACCACAGAGATGACCTAAAGAAATTATCACCATGCTGTCTGGCAGGAAGAGCCGATGCGACTCTCAGGCAAAGAAATTCACTTACAGGACAGTCACAGGATGAAAACTAAATTCTCCTCTTTGTGTACAGGATTTAATAGAAGTCTCTCTAGATGTTAAGTCTAATTATTTTTTCTTTATGAGATACAGATACAGCAATTACCTACATAGGGGTGAAAGGTGAAGCGACATCACGCGTTAAGTCTAATTACGAACGGAGCTTGGGAGAATTTGTGGAAAGGTCCTAGGTTATTTCTTCCTTCTATCAAGAGAATTCTACCAGCTTTGCTCTGTTTGACAGTCTTGTTCAGGCCCTCGTCTTTTGGAGAGAAATGCTGAGAATACTTTTCAACAGAACCCTCACCTTCCTCCCTACCCCTGCCAACATTCCTTCTAGGACTGAAACCAGTACCCATAACAACATTCAACGGAGTATGAGGTTTTCCTCCCTATCCATAGTTCCACTTCTATAAAACCTTCCCGCAAAAAGGCCAGATAGCAAGAGTAGAGACCCGCAAAGGGGGAAGAAGGCTTTCCCCAAACAGCAGCATCTCTTACCTCTGTAGTGCTCCATTCTCGTGTGGTGGGTGATACCCTGTGACCGGAAACTGAGGCTCAGGATGTAACGAGGATCAGAGCTATCTCGTACCAGGAAAGAGCCATCTGGCTTCCCTTTCAGCTTCATCTCTGCATCTTCCCAGTTCATTGGTCCCCAGTACCAACCACACTATCAAAGACAAGAAGTGGTCAAGTACTTCACAGCATGGGGGAAAGGTGCACGTTTTCAGCACTATCGATTTTACCGCAGGAGAATCCCCACCCTCCCATCACTTCTAAAACATTTCACTAGGCAAGAGCTGCTAAGAGTGTCTTAACCATTAGCAACGAACAGCAGGCTCATTCATTTTACCCCTCCAGAGTAACAGAAGAATAAGCTTACAGTCCCATTACCAGGGCCCGACAAAGAAAGGAGAGGGAACTGGGTCAGTTAATCTGTCAAAGTCAGCTTCCACTAAGTAAACAGTTCTCCATAACCGTTCTTCACCACATTCAAATGTTTTTCTCCAAGATTCCATTTTACAACGTCCCTTATGGAATTGATCATAGCAGCATATTGCTTTGGCACTGTAAATATAGAGGCAAGAGAACTACTCTTCCTCTAAAAATAAGACAAGGAGAGCCCAGGACAGAAGAAGGAGAGTGGGAGAGGAGGCCAGCCGCCAGTCTCCGGGCACCGCCTACCTTCTCCAACTCTCGAAGGCTGGCGGCAAAGCTGCTTGAGTCGGGCCGGTAGAGCGGACACTGGAGATGCTGGGGGGGCTGGCTGTGCAGGGATTCAGCTGCTCGGATGGGAGCAATCCGGGGAAATGCATCTGCCGGGCAAGAGAGTGGCGGTCACTTGTTCACCCTCCCGGCTCCCAAGCACAAGCAGACCCTCCCCGCAAAACAGAGATGCTAACTGAAGAGGGGCAAGGCATTAGAAGCTAAGCTGGAAAGGGTGGACGCCAAAGCAGTGGAAAGGAGCTGGATGGGCTGTAACAAAAAGCTGTGTGGGCTCGTGTAAGCTGTGAAGGATGGGTGGGGGCGTTTGACCCCAAGAGAGGGCTAGAGGAGCTGCTCACTAACCTGACTAAGGTGACTACTTCAGGGGCTTCACCAGCCTAGAGCGATTCCAGCTTCTCCCACCTCGAGGTGAAGCGCCGGTAAAGCAGCCTTGGAAATAGTGACTCGCTTACTTGCCCAGGAAGAGGAACGATTTTGCCAGGCAAGTGGAAAAGAATGCTGATTTCATTCATTTTACTCCTTGGGGACTGGAGGCTGGCAAAGCAGGTATGGGCTACTAAATGCTTGGTACTTATTTACAAGGCTGCAGTAAATACTAAAAGCTTAGAAACACCAGAGAACTTTGAAAACTTTAAACCTCTTCACCATTAGGAAATTAAGGCAGTCTCCTAAGTGAGATCTACTCAGAGACCGCAAAGCAGGTTCGGCAGCAAAGACGTGAGAAATTCAATAGTCTTTTATCCCTAACAAAAGTCAGATTCACCTCCACAGGGAAAATGGGTTAGAAAAACCACTTCTTGGCCTCAATTCCAAGGAGTTCTGGCCCAGCCAAGGGGATAAGATTTAAGCTTTCGCATAAGTCCTATTATTTCCATAAATAGACGTCTCCCATCCTTCAAGAGTATATTACTTTGTACTCCCAACTTTTACAAGGCTTGCCTCTAAACTAAGCTAACCTGGGGCATGGGGTGGAGGAGGCGGAGGTAGGGGGAAAGACTGCAGGGAAGACCCCATCGGAGCCACAAGGACAGATGTAGGCAGCGTCCCACTGATATCATCTAGAAGAGAGAACAGAAGCAAGAGGTTCAGAAATATGAGCACAGATGAGTGAGGTGAAGCAGAGGAGAGGGAGAAGGATCATCAGGCTGCCCTCTGGAGCAAGATGGCCTGACCTTCACCCTGTCTTTTTGCACAGAGGCAACAATCATCTTAACCTGGTTTCCTTTGTTGAAAGCAGAAATGTAAGGATATTCCTAAAGCAGTCTACTACCGGTAGATTCAGGGCAAGATAAATACAGGTCTAATCAACATATGGACAGTAAACGTTACAGCATGCAGGTAAGAGACCCATTTAACTGCTTAGGGAGATGACAAGTGTGCTGAGAAAGGGACAGGGAATAACTGGGTCATTATTAGAAACCCAGTCCTGGGAAAGAACAACAGGTTTCTAGAGCTCACCCCCTCCCACTAGGGCAAGAAGGCAGAGAGGGGCAGAGACTATACCTAGGAGGCTGAGGCTTCTCCTCGGAGGAGGAGGGGGAGTTGGAGGGTGTGGAGAGGTCAGGCCCCGCTGAGAGATGTCCACGTCCACAAGTGACACAGTTTCACCTGAGGGATTCACAGACCAAGCATGTTACGGAAGCACCTTGCCCCCAGCTGAAGTCGAAAGCAAAGGAAAGCAAAGGGCAAGCAAGGGAGGCTAGAGGTCTCCGGCTCTCAAAAATCTCAAAACCTAATGCTCCCCAGAGCTGGAATCACCCCCAAACACCCGGCAAGTCAATTTTAAATTCTATCATTTCTCGGTCCTGTTAAAGGTCAAGGATTCTTTAGGACAGAAACATAGGATTAACAGTGGAAAGGCCAATTAATTGTGGTTGTGCCACTGACTACGTAACCTTAACAAGGGGTCTTTATTCAAATGGAACTCACAGCATTTATGTTTACAGATGTGTGTACCAATTTCTGCCTTAGGGAGCAAGGCAAGCAGCTTGTTACAAGTCCAAATGGACATGGAAAGCAAGTGCCAGAAAAATGTAAGAATTGCATGGTAACCTGAATGCAGATAAAGGTCCCAAGGTGAGCCCCAACTTCTTCCTAAATAGCTTTCTACATCTAAATTTTCCAGAATATTCACTCATAAGAGAACCAACCATTTCGCATATCAACTGATTCCTAACAGCTAAGGCTACAAAGGCCAAAAAGTGCATTTATAATCCTAATAATGAACTACTTCCACAGTCAGCCAAATCAGGTAAGCTCCAGAGGAGCTTGATGGGGGATGGCACATGGTTTCTCCTATTTCCGGCCTATCATGCAGTTCTGTTCTCTGCATATACCCTCCTTCTTGCCATCCAAGCCCATCTACCCTCTCTCCACTTCAGTCACCAGAGGGTAACGGGTATTATAAAACAAAGGCTGACTCACAAGTTTTGGTAGGCCTGACCCACAGGGGGAGGACTCTCAAGATTTCTCTAATTTGGCCCTTAGGGTGTTACTTCCAACAACTTTTTCTCATTCAGGAAGCTGAATTAGCTCCTCAGCTAGAATTTTATTATTTCCCAGTTAAAAAAATGAGGTAACCAGTATCTCTAAAAGGCCAAGAGTTGGGCTTTCACAATCTAATACACAGTTTTTTACAAAGGTCTTGAGCACTAATTAAGATAAGCAGAAAAGCTCTGCCAGGGGGACCTGGCTGGCATAGTCAGTAGAGCATGTGACTCTTGATCTCAGGGTTATGAGTTCGAGCCCCATGTAGGGCGCAGAGTTTACTGAAAGAAAGAGGGGCGCCTGGGTGGCTCAGTTGTTAAGTGTCTGCCTTCAGCTCAGGTCATGATCCCAGGGTCCTGGGATCAAGCCCCACACTGGGCTCCCTGCTCAGCGGAGAGCCTGCTTCTCCCTCTCCCACTCCCTCTGCTTGTGTTCCCTCTCTAACTGTGTCTCTCTCTGTCAAAATAAAATAAAAAATAAAATCTTAAAAAAAAAAGAGAGAGAGAGAGAAAGAAAAAAAAAGAAAGCTCTACTAAAAGTCATCAGTGGAAGCTCTGGGAAGCTGGGCCCAGACTCAACACAGAGCTTAGTAACTGAGAGTCTAGCAGCCCAGAGCAATGCAGTGAGCTCAGACAAGTGTGTTTCCTGAAGGGTCAGAGATCTGGACGATAGGTATAGCACTTATTTATTTTTTTTTAAGATTTTATTATTTGAGAGAGAGAGAGAGCACGAGCGGGTATAGGGGCAGAGGGAGAAGGAGAAGCAGACTCCCCGCTGTGCAGGGAGCCCAATGTGGGGCTCGATCTGGGATCATGGGACCATGACCTGGGATCACGACCTGAGCTGAAGGCAGACGCTTAACTGACTGAACCAGCAACGCGCCCCTAGGTATAGCACTCAAGTAAAACATGTAATTAAAAAAAAAAAAAAAAAAAGATGTAATTCAAGAGAGCTGAGGCTGTCTGAAACAGGAACACCAAACCTGAAAGTACAAATGTGGGTGAGCGTTCCTTACTTTAAAGAGGAAACAATCATTAACGAGAAAGACATGCTGCTACAGGACAGGATTCTTTAATTCTGGGCTTCGGGTAAGAACAGAGGCCTCCCTCTCCATCTGTGCCTATTACAGACACCAACTCACTTCTTCTGACACCTCACAGCAGTCTATGCAGTAACAGGGGTCCCAATAGCCTGCTGAACATCTTCTGGACATGTCCATTCCTAAATCATAATTCTTCCTGTCATCTTTTCGAGGGATACAATCTCCAAAGGAGTTTGAAGTTAGGATTTTTTGGTTGGGCCACAATGAGGAGTACTCCGTTCCTGAGACTGGAGGCAGCATGCTAAAGACCTTCTCTATCACTTACTTAAGCAGGAGCTCTATATATGACTAACAAAAAGGCTCCCTATCTGAACAAGATCCCCATTAAGGAGAAGGCAGTTGCCCAAAGGATATTCAACCACTTTCCTACTTGAGCAACTGTGTTCCCTGCTGCAATAGGAAAGACTTAAATTAGACACAGTGAAGAACTCTTAACAGCTGCAAGAACTCCTGGCCCCTAAAATGGGTAAGACAAGAGTTCACATAATCCCCTTTGCCCAAAGTCTTTAAAAATAGACCAGACAATCATGGATCATGTTTATTAGATCATCCATGAACTCCCTTGGAAGCAAGGACAGGAATTGTATGACTTCTAGAGAGTCCTTTATGAGCCTATAAATTTGTAATTCCTACTTTTAATTTACACACGATGGCCCTGAACGAAGCACTGTGTACCTGCCAGGGCTACCTAATTACCAGCAGTCTCTATCTCCAACTATAAAGACTCCAAAGTCAAGAACACATTCCACACCATAAAAATAGCCTCACCCCAACCCCAGCGGGCATGGAATGAAGGAAGTGGCTGCAGGCCCACCAGAAGCTTGCTCTGCGGTGCATCTGCAAGTGTCCCCAGACAGGTCTCAGAACACTCCTGCTTTCAGAGGTCAGAAGAAAAAGAGAGCAATCACCCTTACCTGTGAACAGAGGGCTGAAGGAGACCGGAGAAAAGGCACTTTGAGTTCTTGTCAACCTGGGTTTCCTAGGGGGTGAGAGAGCACACAGAGAATATAAGGGAGGATGGAGGAATGAACACATACACATTTAAGTCACTACGACACTCAATTCTAGATGCACTGAAAAACCAAGCAAATCCTAGTCACTGTCAACAACACTTTTGTAATAAAGCCTAAAATTTAAAGGGGGAGAATGAAATAATTCAGGCAATTTCTTAAATAGATTTGCCTACAAAGTTCAGCCTACAAAGCCATGAGAAATCCCTTTGGATCTCTCCACACCCAGCATAACGGAAAAGTAAAACACCTTGAGTGGTAATTAGCAAGTCCATTTCTAGAGGAAGGAAGTCAGATGCAAGGCTGATTTTCATAAGGGAGCCAAGAAAATGGCTCTTGACCTGAGCAGGTGTCATATCGGAGCAAACACTTTCCCTATGGCCCCGCCCCAAGGTGCAAGAGGTCCCAAAGGGAACCAGGGAATAGATTTGGTCTTGAGAATGGCACAAGAAGCACAGGCAATGTTCAACCACTAAGATCCCTGATTTCTACACAAATGCCCCGAGCCATGGTACAAAGCCATCAGCTAACAAGGGGGCCCCCTCAGGTTAAGGGCTCTGCCTGGCTCCCAAAGAAAATGGCCCTTCCCCTCTCTGAGTGGCTAGTCACATGGCTCTCCCCATGACTTCTTGATCCTGCTCTGGGGAGCCAGCTGGAAAACCCAGATCTCCTGTGAAAAGATACACCAAAGGTAACTTCACTTTGTACCAATTTCAACTGGCTTTTCAGTGAGAAATGAAAGAAATCCAAAAGACTGACAAAGACTTTCTGGCCAGAAATGTGCTAAGCTCAAAAACCTCACCTCAGGATGACTGAATTGACTACAAGGGAAAGAACTTGCAGAAGTGATAAAAATATGCTCTATCTGGCCTGTGGCAGAGCTTATATGACTGTATATCATATTGCCAAAATTAACAGAACTGGACACATAAAAAAAAAAAAGGTGAATTTTAGGCGGTCATAAATTATACCTCAACAAACCAGACTTAAAAAAGGAAAAGGAAAAAACCCACGAATTGAGTGCCTGACTCTAGGCCTTATACCTGGCTCACCTTCCAAAATTACTCTCACCCAAAGGACTAAATAAAACTTCAAAGGCACCAACAGAGAAGCCGCACAGAAAATCCAAAATGAAACCCTATTTAAATTACTTGACTTTGGAAGATCTTTACACATTTGTTTTAACACAGACATCTAAGCTTCTCGAGACTCCCTTCAAACAGAATTTCAAAACCATATTGTGAAGACCTTACTCAGAAACAGCCAAGACGCTGGATTGCTCTCACACTCCCTCTGCAACTTCTTCGATGCTGAGACTTCTCATCTAATGATGGCGCTCCCTGTACCTGCCCCACCCAAGGCACACACAGGAGACATGGCTGCATCAAAACACGACACAACCACACAGACTCCTCTGTTTATAAAAGTTGACCCTGACCATCTGCAGCTTAGTTCCAACACTCCAGAGGGCTGGAATGGAAAGTTAATTCTGCTGGACATGAACTTTAAGACTGAAGAGCTTCCAAGCTGATTTTTATTTGATAACTTGTTGGGTACAACATTAAACCCAGCAAGTAGAAACCTAAAGCACTGGCCTCTCAAAGGGTTCACACCTCAGCCATTTGGCCGTTTGCCTCTTTTCAAAGGAAGCTGCATTACTCTGCCATCTGCCCATGCTGGGGACGAGGCTCTTCAGTGCCAAGCACTGAAGAACGGCAGTACCCAAATGCACACATCTTGTGGGGACTCATCTTCTCCCCCACCCCCGGCATTCTGCAGAAGAAAATCATAGTTTCTAGGATCTAGAAAAAGAAATACATCAGAATCTGAACACAGGCAGAGCCATTTGAGAGCCCTGGGATGGCTTTTTCTGGCAAATAAGGGGGCCTCGGGGCTGGAAGCTTGAAGAGTAGAAGGTCTAGGGGGCTGATAGGCTAATAATAAAAATAAGTGCTTCCTTCTCTCTTCAGGTAGACACTGTCTAACTAAAAATCCAAAGCAGTTTCTGTCTCAAGGATCCTGAGAGCATTCTAATGGCAGCCATTCATGAAAAGACCAATCTAGACAACTATAAAAAACAAAGCAAGGGAACAATTAACATAAAACTGAGGACGGTGGTTACGTGGGGGAGGGAAGAGATGTAATCAGGAAGCAACACACAGGGGTCTTCAAAGATACTGATAACATTCTATTTGCTAAGCTTAGTGGTGGGTACCCAAGTATGCAATTCATTATTATTATAGTACATACACTTTATGTATCTCCTTTTGTAGACATGAAGCATTTAAAACGATAAAAGCCCATCTAAGCTGGATGTGCCGTTTTGGGAAAACAACATGAATGATTCAGCTCCAGTAACATTTTTAACTAACCCTTCCATACTACATTCCCATGTTATTTTATTCCTCCCCAGATCATCCTGACAAGCATTAGGGTGCAAAGTTAAGTCATTTTAACTCTGCCAGTGTGCCACTTGCATCTTAGCAGCAGAAAGACTTGAGAGGTAGGGTGGGGTAGGATCTGGTGGGCTATACCTCAGGTGGCAGAAAAGGACAGAGGCAGCAGAAGACCTGAGGCAAAGGTCTTCTTTGGGGCTAGCAGTGCTTTGTGTCAGCTACACCACTGCTTCTGCTACAGATGACAAACAGAATGCCTCAGTAAATTACTAACTGGACGGCAAGAGATCCATGGGATAAAATTTACAAGCATTAGACTAGATGGGCCAACAACACATTGATAAAACCACTGGCCACTTTTCAAATTCCTTGAAACCTAAAATATAAACCATGAAATAACGATGTCCTCCCTCTCCCTTGTCCATAAACCCCATCTACTGATGTCCTAAGACTTGAACATGTCCTTTTCTACAGTAACTCCCAAACTCGGATGTCCAAATGCCAGGTTTGATGGCCACAATTTACCTCTGAGCCTGCTAGAGCACACAGTGCCAAGTCAGCTAGCCTTGCCATTTCCAACACGTCATAAGCCAGTGTCTGTTCATGTGCTGCAGGCACAAAAACCATGTGTTCATTTGTAGTTCCAATACACAGACATCTGTGCAGCAAGGTCATTTCCAAAACTCCATCATTCGCCAACTGAAGAACCTATGGAGGGAACTTCCAGGGAAAAGCCAAGAGGCGTGGTCCAACGTCTAAAACCTTGGAATGATTTTAGCAGGGAAAATGTTAAGGAGTGAAAGACACAGGCTCAAATGGACAGAGATTTCTGAAGTTAGGTTGCTCATTCCAAAAGATAAGATGCCAACCACAACCACTTTGTGGCACGAGAGTTGAAAAGATCCATGGAGTATGGACCCAAAACCCAAACCCAAAGTCAGAACTTCCTCAACACACACCACAAAATCATCTTGTTCTCAGCATGTCAGGCTATTTCTCAAAAAGACTCCCTGAGACCTGAAGACCCGAGGAAACAGAAAAGGCTTTCTCATGTCTGCCGGGTCTGTCCACGACAGCAGGGCCCCAGGCTAATGGCAGCCTGCCTCTCTTTCCAGAATTCTATCTTTTTTCCAAACAAATAGGAAACCACTACAGAACTGTTCTCCATTTTCCCACCTCACAATTACGAAGACAGCCAGTAATAATCTCAACTGTTAACTCGGAAAAAACAAACCCTGAAAAATGAACAAGGTACCCATTTCCAACCATGTGTGTATTAGGTGATGGTTTTAAAAGGTTAGATCAAATGCTATTTCTCAGCAAATACAAAGGAAGACAATCATTTCAACATATGTGAAAAAGACAAGGGAACTTCACTGGTTTTCCTGAAATAGCAATTCTATATCACACCGAGGCCCCCAGGCATCAAGCCCAGCTCTTTGAATTCCAACATATGTGTGTTACAAGGCCTAGCCCAGTTCTCCAGAACAGAAACCTGATTAGTCGATGGGCCCATTTCTTCCTTCACTTGAAAAGGGTTCTCTAAGCTAATTCGCACAAGACTTAAGACTCAGTATATCCAGGTAGGTCCATCTAGGACTCTAAAGCATCTAAAAGGAACTAAAGGTTTGCTTCATGTTAAAATATGGAGACTATTAAGCCTTTTAAAATGACGGCAGGAAGTACTTTCTAGTGATAGCTGTGGGAAAGGCAGATGTGGAAAAGGGCAAAGAGAGCCATACCCAGAGGTTACTGAAAAGCCCCAAATTATACAGCAAAGATTGCAGAGACTCGTAATTAACTCCAACCAACAATAAGAAGGGGGGTCATATACCTTCTGGCAAAAGACTGACATTTCTCACAGCCTCCAGGGCCTTACCAATCAAAACAAGAGAACAACCTAAAATTCCAAACTCATCCTTCTTCCCAACAGGGCAGACTTAGGAGGTGCAGATCCATAGAAATCACAACTACCCTAGCCAGACTTACCAAGTTTCTCACAGCTGCGAGACTGCCAACAAGACTGGCACATAGTAAGCTGTGGAAAAGCTAACAAGCAAATCTAGCAGCACCAAATCCTAAGCATTAAAAAAAAAAAAATTACCAGTTCAATCTTATTCCAAAAGCACAAAATATTCCATCTCAATTTCTCTTGTCTTCATTCAATTCCTACAAGGACAGGAACAAGACAATAATCACTCCCATTTTACAGATGAAAAAAAAAAAAGGAAGCACGAAGAAGACAAAATTGGCCTACATTCCACAGATGTTGGAGTTGTAAACGGAATCTAGATGTTCATGTCCTCTGTGCAACACACTGCCTCCTAATAGCAGTCAGCCAAACGTTCATACACAAATACCTAGCTCTTCTCCAATTCATCAGAAAAAGCCCTTGGACCAAAAAATGTAATTCTCCAGTGCCCTGAACTAAGCTTCCTTGCAGAGCTACAGCCCAATTTGCTCTGCAGCAGAAATCTGTATTGTGCTTAGTGTGAGGGTTGGTAAAAGAGCAGCCAATGACCATTAAATTCTGCTTCCAAAGGCAAAAAACCGTATAACATTATATGCCTTTTCCCTTCCTAATCTATTAGACGTAGCAGCTAATTTCACGCCACACCTCATATTCAGCGTCTCTGGAATCTTAGACCAAGTCCTGGTCAATATGGAACAAAGGCAAGACAAACCACAAGAAAATTAGCAGTCTATCCTATGTCATTACCCACAGATTCAATCCTGCCCTCCCCCCATCTGATGAAAATTTCATCTATACTGGTTAAGTGGAGCATTGAATGCAGAGCCTACAACAAAAAAGCTGTTTCGGCAGCCACACGTTTTAAGACCTGAGCTCCCAGCATAAGTTCACTGGGAAGCAAAGGCAGAAACATAGGTCTACCTGCAGGGGCAACACACATCAACCTACTGATTTCTTTAGGGAATTTGCGTTGGGTCTGATTCCCAAGATGATGCTCTGGCACAACTCTTCAGAAAGGGCAGCTAAGTCATAATTGACCCCACACTTTCCTCTTGGGGGCATGCAAACTCCCCTGAAAGGAGAAGTCCAAGGATGAGTGGTTCCCAGTCGAGGTCATACTTCAGGGTCATGTGGGAAGCTTTGTAGAAATTTAAACTCTTGGGCCCTCAGGCATACTGATCTTTTCCCAAAGCTCCCCACATGATTCTGGTACACAGTAAAGTTCTCAAATCTATTGGTCTACCCGTTCTTCAGCCTTGGGTTGTGGTTGCCAGTGTGTCTCAAGAATCCACCATATGAGCTGCACCAAAACCAATTCCAATCTTTGCTCAGAATCCACTCAGCGGTGCAAACCACAATGGCAGTTACCACAAGGGAAGTCTCACTTCTTGACACAAAAGTTGACAGCTTTTTAAACTAATATACAGACCTAATACTGGATGCCAGAGTGCTGTCCACCCTTCAGAAATGCAGAGGAAAAAAAATCAACGTCCAAGTTTGGAATATTCATCAACTGGCCTAGAACTCACGGACCCATGTCTATACCTCACACTTAGAATACTCACATGGGCTTGAGAGCAAACTATTTTCTATTCTCCCAGACGGTGGTCAGCACACAGGCTTGAGATACCAAGTATATCTAAGAAACCAACCAGGAAAACATTAACATGTTGAACAGAGATACCCAAACAATTGCTGGCCTACAGCTGCACGTGTGTCACATCATTTGTAGGCATGAGTGTGAAAGGGGTGGGGTAAACAGAAAGAATAATAAGCAAAATGGTTACAACACCAACTTTTTGCCCCAAAGACCAAACATTTCCAGCAACCGCCCTACCAGATATAATGGTAGACAGACACCTTGGAAAACTTTAAAAGCCAGGCCAGGGTTGGGGGTGGGAGGATGGTGTCAAATCATCTCCCAACTGGAGGGATGCTAACCAGCTGAGAAACGTCACCGGAGTGAACTTCCTAAGAGTGAAAACTGTTCCCCCACTTAGCTCTGACCTAATGGGCGATGTCACCACCTTTAGCCCTAAGTCTCTGTGCCTCCTTATGAAAGGCACATCCTAAGAATTGTCAGAAGCATGTTCGCAGCAGAATAAAAGGGAAATGAAACAAGAAAAGAAGTTTTGTCAGTCAGCCCCTCGGCCAGTCTCACCTCCCCGCGTCCAGCTCCCGGCCCGCAGAGCCTCCCATGTCTGTCAGGCTCGCAGCAGAAGTAGCCAGCTCTCCACAAGGCCTCTTGCCGGCCCCATCCCCACCGCCGGAGCCGCCGTTGCAGCTCTTCGTGCGAAAGAGGCGACTGAGGCGGATTTTGAGGGAGCCCTTCCGAGAAGGGCCCGCCAGTGGCCGGAGGGGCCCGGGAGGAGGCGGGGGCGGGGGCGGGGGCTGCGGCTCCCCTCTACCCAAGCGCCCTGGGGGGACCAAGTCCTGCATCGGGAAGGGCACCGGGGGTAATTCAGGACCCGGGGGCTGCAGCAGAAGCCGGCCGCCCCCTCCTCCTCCGCGACCCGGGCTGCTGAGCTCCTCTTCCGAGCAGCTGTTAGTCTCCAGGCTTTCGGCCTCCGACTCCAAGCCCTCCAGGACCAGTAGCGCGTCGCTCGTTTCCGTGGGGTCCTCCCCGGCCTGCGGGGCGGCAGCAGGCGGCTGAGGCTGCGGAGGGGGCGGCTGCGGGGGGCACGGGCACGGGCACGGGCAGCAACCCCCACCGACCGTCTTGACCCCCGGCGCCGCCGGCTGCCCGAGCCCCAGAGCCGCCAACTGCGCCTCCAGTCCAGCCGCCGGGCCCCAGGTTCGCTCAAGCGCCAACCCCGGCGGCAGGGCCTTGGGGTCCAGGGCACAGCGGTGCCGGGGACACAGCAGTTCCGAGGGTCCCGGCTCCGGGGCCGCCTCCGCGTCCTCCTCCTCCGGCGGCCGACCCACGTTGCGGAACACCATCAGCTGCGGCGGCCGGGAGCCCCGCGGACCGGGCCGCGCGAGGAAGGGTGGCGGCGGGGGGCCATGGCCCGGGGGCGGCGGCGGCGGGCCTGGCTCGGGGGCCGCCTCTCCATAGCCGAGCAGGCGGCTCAGGACGCGGTACGAAGCGGCCGCCGCCGCCGCCTCGCCATCCCGGAGCTCGGCCCCCTGCATCGGGGAGAGGGAGGGAGGGCGGGCGGCTGGGAGCCGGGCTGGGGTGGGGACTAGGCCGGGCCCCGCCGGAGCCCCGCCCGCCGCGGCCCCCGGAGCGACAGCGCTAACGGCCGCCGCGGCCTCTGCCTCATAGAGGGGGGCGGGGGGCGCGCGGAGCCCAGCGCTAGCCCAGGCCGCGCGCCGCCGCCGCCGCCGCCGCCGCCGAGGAACGCCCCCGGATGGCGTCATTTCCGGAAGGCTGTGACCACGCCCCCTCCCCAGGGCGCGCTCGCGCTGGCCTCGGCGGAGCGTGACGTTGAGTGCAGCCCGGGCCGCTATTGGCGGTGGGCGGCTTCTCGCCTAGCCGTTGGTCCCCTGCCCCGACCTTTGCTTTTCACTTCCCGGGCGCTGAGGCCGAAGCCGCCCCTCCCCGGTGCGGGGGGAGCGGCCCTGGAAAACCTGGTTTGGTCCTGGCCGAGAGACCGGCTGGCCTCTGGGAGTACCTGTGATGTGGTCCCGCCTGGGCCGCTTGCGAGGTGTGACCGTGACCGAGTCATTTCTTCATTGACTAACTGTATCCCCTCTGGCTTCCAGTGAATGTTTGTGGAATGACACATGAATAATGTGTGTTCTAGAGCCAGTGGTGTGCTGATAAATGTTTAACATCTGGCTCTCGGGGGAAGAGGGCATTACATGTATATATATATGTATATATATAGGTACATAAGTTTATCATGAATTTTACTGATGTAAAGGTTGTATAGCACACAACTTACAAATGATAACAATAGTATACGATTGCAAATTCTATATAACCAATTGATTCTCAAGAATCCTTTCATTGGCTTTGGTCAAACCCTTGTATGGGTAGCCAACTTGTGGTTTCAGTTGACCAAGGAATTGCAGCATGAATGTTGGTTGATGTTTTCCTCAATGTCAGTGTAAGAGGAAAATGAAAAAAATAAAGACGGTCTTAACTGGCAATTATGGGAGTGACTTGCTTGCTGAATCAGAAAACAGTTTTCAAATACTGAAAGAATATTCCCTTAATTTGGGGGGCGCCTGGGTGGCTCAGTCGGTTAAGCATCTGCCTTCCGCTCAGGTGATGATCCCAGGGTCCTGAGATGGAGCCCACCTTGGGCCTCTTTGCTGGGGGTGGGGAGTCTGTTTCACCCTCCCCACCTCCCCACCCCCGCTTGTGTGTTCTCTCTCCCTCCCCCTCTCTCTCTCAAATAAATGAATAAAATCTTTATTAAAAAAAAGATTTCCTTAATTTTTGTGCTATTCACAATGCAATGGCTACAGGCATAACACATTAAATTTAAATCTGAATTACTAACTTCCCCTCCATCACTTTCTTAAATCTAGATAATAGACAAAACACTAAATCAAGGCCCTGATTTGTAGCATTTGCTGATATCCATGGTGTAGATACTCCCACCATGGCTGATTTCAATTTTCAGAACACAGAGTTACTGAACACGGAGTTAGAAAGATATGAGCAGTAGCATACCCTTATGTAATAGTTTCATCGTGCAGCTACAGCCCCAGGAACATAGGTAAACAGTAATAGTAAAGTTATTAGAAAGTGATGAGTTTTGAAAATATATTACCTTTATTTTAAACATTTAATTATAAGTGTGCATTATTTAATTTTGAATAGTAGCTGTGTTTCACAACTGGCTTGCAAAATTCTTGAAATTTTAACAGTTGGCTTTCACAGTCCTGTATGAGCCAGCTCCACAGCATCTTCGTACCTCAGTTTTCTCATCTGCAAAATAGGAATAACCATGACTGCTTCACTTACTTGCAGACATGCTGTGAAGATCAAATAAGAGAATGCTGTGTAGAGGATACTGGACTGGAGGGGAGGGAGAGGACTGGACTGGAGACAGCAGTCCGGGAGATCAGTTAAGAAACTATTGCAATTGTCCCCTGAGAGATGTCCAGGGATGCAAGAGATAAGGAGGAAGGATCAGCCAGCAGAATTTAGCAACTTTGTATCTGTGGGTGCACTGGAGCGAGGAGGGTATGAGCCCTGAAGCCAGAGAGAGCTTTTTTTTTTTTTTTTTTAAGATTTCATTTATTTATTTGGCAGAGAGATAGAGAGAGAGAACAAGTAGGCAGAGAGGCAGGCAGAGGGAGAGGGAGAAGCAGGCTCCCCGCTGAGCAGGGAGCCCGATGCCGGGCTCAATCCCAGGACCCCGGGATTATGACCTGAGCCGAAGACAGCCACTTAACCAACTGAGCCACCCAGGCGCCCCCAGAGAGAGCTTTTTAAAATGAAAATTTGTCAGGGCACCTGGCTGGCTCAGTCCAAAGAGCTTGCGACTCTATGTCAGGGTCATGAGTTCAAACCCCATGTTGTGTGTAGAGATTACTTAAAAATAAAATTAAAATTGGGGCGCCTGGGTGGCTCAGATGGTTAAGCGTCTGCCTTCAGCTCAGGTCCAGATCCCAGGGTCCTGGGATCGAGCCCCATGTTGGGCTCCTGGCTCAGCGGGGAGCCTGCTTCTCCCTCTCCCTCTGCCTCTTCCCCTGCTCATGCTCTCTCTCTCTCTCTCTGTATCTCTGTGTCTCAAATGAATAAATAAAATCTTTTAAAAAATTAAAATAAAAAAATAATAACATGGAAATTTGTCTATAACCCGTGATTATAACTCTTCGTGGTTTCCCATTGTTCTTAGGCTGAAGAGAAAACCCCTTAAGGAGGCCTATGGGGTCCTGTGTGATCTGAATCCTGCTTCTGTCTGACCTCATCTCCCACCAACCTTCACTTTGTTCTCCCGCCCCTGTAGTTCCGCTAGCCCTGTGTGAGGCTCACACACATATGGCCATTACATAAGCTATTCCCTTTTCTTGAAAGGCTTTTTCCTTCTCTTTTTGCTTAGTAAACTCCTACTCATCCTTAAGTTGAACTCACTCCTCACTACCTCAGGGAAATCTCTCTGCCTGGGTCCTTACTTCTCCCTACCCAGCTCCCAGACCGCTCTTTTGTCACACTGACGAAACAGCTGTGATTTTTCATCTCCCCTTGGGGTTATTTGATTAAAATCTGTCTTCCCTACTAAGCTGTAAACTCCACAAGGGCAGGAGCCAGGTTGGCTTTTTGCCCATCATGGACTCTTCCCCGTACTAGAGACGCTGCAGGGCACAGAGTGGACCATGGAAATATAAGTGTGGGATGGTTGTTCAACCTCATGCTTTGCAAGGGGCTCCTGATACAAACTCATGTCTAATTCTGCACAGCACACCATCTTTCCTTGCCCATGAAGAAACGGAAGCTCAGAGAGTTATTTACCTAAGGTCACACAATTCGGAAAGGTACAGTGGAATTCAAAACCACCCACCCTCCTTCAGCAACCTGGCAGGTGTCACTCAGATTTCTGGAGAAAAGAAGAGAAATTGCTATAGGATCACAGAACACCGGAGGCTTTAGAAGACCCCCCAAGATGCCTGGTTGTCTCTGGAAAACCTCCCTAGCCCCCGAATGCAAGGTCTGTAGCTCTGCAGCGCCCTCTGCTGTCCAGCTACTTTCTTGGCCTGGGAGGGAAGCTATGTCCCCACCTGGCGTGTCCCCATCTGGGGTATCTCCACTGCTCCAGAGCACACAGAGGCACAGGACAACACACACAAGCTTTTTCTAAGGCAGGGCAAGGAATATTGCCTTTCTCCATTTCCTTAAATGTTCAGGCCTGTAGCCCAGGTCCTGGGAAAAAGCACTGAAAATTCAGCTTCAAGCAAAGGAAGTGTTATCTTGGGATTTGTGTGTATTTGTTGAACAGGTTTTGTGTCTACTCATATCTCTCTCACTGAGGCCCATCTAGGTGGTCCCTCAAGTGGTAGGACCCTAGTTTCAAAGGTTTGAGAAGAAAAACCCAGAGAACTGAAACTGGTCCTGAGGTCACTTAGTCATTCAGCAATGGGCTAGGCCTCGGGACTGCAGTGTTGAGGGAGACTGGGACCGTCCCTGCCCTTCTGGAGCTCGCCAGCTACTCTGAGTCCTAATCACACCATTTCCCGGATGGATGACCAAGAACAAATAATCTAGTATCTTTGCACCTGTGTTTTATTGGCAAAAAATAGTTCAGTAATAATCCCCCCCCCCAGGGGCTTTTGTGGAACACTTAACACAGAAATGCTAAAACATGACACAAACATTAGTAGTTGTTATTATGAAAAGCTTCTTGGGGGACCAAAACAATTATTATTGTGCCTTCATACAATGTGTTTATGGCCCTCCACTAACAGTGACCAGTAAGGCCAACACCTTGGAATGGGTATCTTTTCCCCTCCACCCCTCTCAGCACACAGAATCACAGAAGCTGAGGAGAGAGCTATGCATGCGTCATACAGGTCTGACTCCACTCACTGGCTCCGAGGCTTTGAGAAGGTCAGCTGCGCCGGCCTGCAGTTTTAGTTTTAGTTTCCTTTTCTATCGGAGAAAGGCCCTGGGCTAGAGGCCCTTCCAGTTCTGCCATCACAGGGGTTCTGCTGGGGGGCTGCCCTCAAGCCCCTCCTCTCCCTCCCACTCTGACGTTCCCACTTAGGATCCAACGCAGAACTGTTTGCAGAGCCCAACGGTAAAGCAAGGGGAGTTTCTAGAAACCACCACCCATCCCTTCCTGCATACAGTCAGTGCTCTGGGACATCAAAGGTTTACGGGAGTGGGCAGAGCGAGAGAGGAAGAAGCCAAGAGACAGCTTGTGTATGTGGGGCCGGATCTGTGGGGGGTGGGGAGCACAGCCGTGATGGGAGACGGCAGGAAGAGGAAGGCAGGAGCGCTGTTCCATGGCTACACCTGCAAGAATCCACACCCTCCTGGGGCGCCTGGGTGGCTTGGTCCGTTAGGCATCTGCCTTTGCCTCCAGTTGTGATCCCAGAGTCC